TGTGATAATTCCTTGGTATAAGGTCGAAGACGAGAAAAAGCGACAGAAAGAGGCCCGCCATAAACAATTTGATAAGAACCGAAATCTCAATTTCTCATCTCTCGCTAAAGATGCGGTTAAGCGAGACGAAGCGTTTGATGAAGATGCGAGTTCCGAAGATGAGGATGGAACGTCCAAACTGGTCGATGGAGTGGTTGCAGGTCATAAAGATAACTCGCGTCGAGCGTACTATAAAGAGTTCCGCAAGGTTATCGAAGCTGCCGACGTGATTCTGGAAATATTGGATGCACGTGATCCACTGGGTTGCAGGACCAAACAGGTCGAGAGGATGATTAATGACAGTGGATCTGCAAAGAGAGTAATATTGATACTTAACAAAATTGGTGAGATTATTATAAAGTAAAATTATTCATTTGTAGTATGATCTCATGATACCTTTATTATTATTTAGATCTTGTTCCGCGAGAGAATGTTATGCAATGGCTTGCATATTTGCGTAAGGAGTATCCAACAGTTGCTTTCAAATCCTCAACACAAATTCAGCGTAAAAATCTTGGTCATGCGTCTGGATCTGTCGCCACCGTGTCTGATAACATTCTGCATGGTAACGAATGCTTAGGCGCAGACATGTTGATCAAGCTTCTTAAAAATTATTCGCGCAGTTGTGATATTAAAACTTCTATCACCGTTGGAATAATCGGATACCCTAACGTTGGAAAATCGTCTGTAATCAATTCATTGAAGCGATCCAGAGTTTGTGGGGTCGGTGCTACGCCAGGTTTAACAAAGTCGGCCCAAGAGATTCATCTCGACAAAAACATAAAATTATTGGACTCTCCGGGTATCGTGTTTAGTAGAGATCCGAAGGATGATAAATATGCCGGAATTCTACTAAGAAATTGCGTTAAAATCGAATTATTAAATGATCCAATCCAACCAGGTATGAAATTTTATTCGTTATAAAAATTTTCATCTAGTGAACTCGATAAATGTTTCTCTTTCTTTCACTGTAGTTGAGGCTATCGTCTCTCGGTGTAATCCGCAACAGCTTGTGAGCAGATACAATGTTCCAATTTTCAGGGATGCTCGTGAGTTCCTCATACTTCTCGCTCGCCAACGGGGCAAGCTGAGACGCGGAGGTATTCCGTGCTTAGAATCGGCCGCCAGAATTATCTTACAAGATTGGAACACCGGAAAGATACCTTATTATACCGTGCCACCGGCCGTACCCAAGACGGATTCAATAATTGATAGTACCATCGTCTCAACTTGGAGTAAAGAATTTGATCTGGAAGGGGTGTGCAATGATGCAGAAGACAAGGTTCTCCTAGGAGTAAAAAGTAAAAGCGATTTCGGTGGAGTCATAGAAATGGTATGCTAAAACAATATTATCGATTTCAACCCAGTCGTCGTCTATGTAGTTGATTGATTAAAGGGTTCATTATTTGTTCAAGTCAGGAGAGGAGCTCCCCGAGGTTGAAATGGAAGTTTACGATGACGATGAGAATGATGAACCTGAAAGGTGACGATCAATTTCCGATGTTCTTACTGAATAAGTATGAACGGGGCTCTCACGATTTGACATCTCGCATGTAGTTTCATGGACGATGATGAGGAGGACAATGCTTCTAGAACAAATTCCTTAAAGTCAGTTGAGAAATCATCCATTCCAATTGTCGCCCAGTTTAAAACGAGTGCAAAAGGGGAAACATCGAAGAAAGATGACGATCCGCTCACGGTATTGGAGCGGGAGATCAATCCGCAAATCGCAAAAGACCGAAGAAAGGACATCAAGAAACAAAAGAAAGCGCTAAAGAAAATGCAGAAAAGGGTCACCTTTGAAGATACCGAGATGAAAGATACCACAGTCGAAAAAGAAAAGGGCGAAGATGATCGATACGATTTTTCTGAATTTTTTGGAGAATTACCAAACGTTGATCCTAGTGAGTATCGAGATTTGGATTTATTACATTATCGACTTTACGTTGCGGTTCACGTGATACTAATGATGATACTTAAATTTTGGGGTGGATTTCTAAAGCCGGAAAATACGATGAGGATGAAGAAGATTTATAGTCTTCCCTGTTGATGCCTTTCCTTTTAAAATATCGCACCAACCAATCATAGACATTATCTTTGTGATATGCATACAGTTTTTTGAACCCGTGAAATTACGATCGACCTTTTTATTTAATTTCTGTTGACAAGAAAGTTTGAGTCGAAAAATCGGAATACATACGTCAAAATTTTTTCGACTTTTTAAGATCGCGCAGTATCGCGCTCACTTTAAACATAATAAATTTTAATTAAATCGTGTAATACTATTTTGCGCTAATTAATTAAAAATAGTCAATTACTAAAGTTTATTATCTTAAAAACAAAACTTAACAATTTAACTGCATATATTAATTAAAAGTTAAGGTTAAAGAAAAAGATTATTTTACTTAAAAAACAAGTTTTAAAAAAAAATTTTTTTTTCCTCGATCGGCCGCCATTCCTTCCCTTTATGGCAATTGAGTAATTTTCCGCTAGGAACCAGTTAAATTAAAAATTCGCTAGTACAGAGCCGATTATGGAATGATCGGATTTACAATGGTTAGTTGAACCGCTTCTTTTAATTTAACTCATATGTACGTAATGTATACAATTTCATCTTGCCGATCGAGACGGTTTCAACACAAAGAACAACGCACGTGACAGGTGAACTTTGTGCGTCGTATAAAGACATGCGTACGGTGATTCTCGTTGTGGTGTGTGTGAATGGAATTTCAAACGAGAAATCCGTAATATCCAATTTTATTGGTATTTTTTTTTTGATTAAATAAATAAAGATGTGATTTTGTGGATTATTAAACAATGGTGGCGTCAAGTTGATCTTGTTGTTCACGTGATTCTTCTATATTAGTCAATTCTTTACTTTTGGGTGGCTCTATGACCGTGGTTTCCGTGTTCGCGGAATTGTTTGTTCGTTGCGGCTGCATCTCATTTAGAGCACATTCGTCTCCATCCAAATTTTCATTGTCAATGAATTCTCTCCGAGCGACGGAACTTCAAAGATAAATATAAACGTATCACAGAATTAATTAATCATGGATACGCGACGAATTGAATAAGGATCAATCCGTGATACGTGCATGAAGCGATATTGCAAATATCACGTGGACAAGTCGAATCAAACTCACTTTCGCGTCAGAGGCCGACAAAGCACCCACAGACAGTTTCTACGAATGTTTCTAAAGTCAAAGGGGTTTTGGTTCCTGGTGTCGTTCCTTCGTGAAAGGGGTACGCGAATCTGAATTAGAGAATTCAACCGGTTAGATCACATGGGTGGTGTGATGCGTGTAACAGAATGGTTTGGTTACCTGTTCGTGAGTCGTCAGATTCCGGCTTATCAAGTATACGTGATAACCTGTTAACCCTCCAACCGACCACATCAAAAAAAATGTCAACACCACTAACAAAAAAGTGCACATGCTGTCAAGGTTTAAATTATGATCATGGTGGACTTGTGAAATGACCGAGGAAAAAACAAAAAGGATATCTGACTGGTGCACTCATTATGGAACTTAGGAAATTATCATTGTCTTTCACCAGCAGGGACAAATGCACTAAACTAAATCCCAGGACGTAAAAGCAAAGGATGGTGGCGGTGGCAACGAATGTGAAAAAGGTTCTATAATTTCTTCGTCCGATGCAGTTATTTAACCAGATACAGTGATGGTCCTCATTTTCTTAATAAATCGATTTGAAGAAAGAATTGGGATAAATTCCAACGTTCGTTTGGCATGAAAAATTTCACGACAAAAATTACGCTCTTCAACAAACCAACACAATTATCGCATTGTCGACAATGGCTACACCTTGGGGGCCTATAAATTTTGCAAGTTTCACAATATTTTAGTCGAATTATTTGTCCATTGATTTTAACCTCTTTTGGAAGTGGTACACTCCGCGTCGGGAAGTATGCGTTATTATTATCAGCATGATTCTCGGTATCCTCGAGGTCTTCCGTGGGCGGCGAAGGATCCAGGTTACGAGGAATAATCTATGGTCCCAATGTTAGATGTTACTTTGAAAATATGACATTCTCGAAGCCAAAAGCGTAATCCCTGCCTACACATACCCCCGGATCAGACCAAGATGTTCTGAGCATGCTGGCAAGTGCCAGCAAGAAGAAGTAGACAAACACAAAGACCACCGCGGGCGAAACATTATGATACAGAAATGGGCACCTATAATATTTAAGCAACGATTAAAACCGAAAGGTGGGGAATGATAATAAGCCGAATTCCAACGAGTCGAAGAAAATGTGCACAAACGTAAATCCCATAAAGAGTCCAGATGGTATGGTGAGGGCACAAAATGCGACTAGGAATGCGGGGAAATCCCTGCTTGTCATTATCCGTCCACCAAGAAAAAATCGATTTCTCCCAGGCCAAGCTTGATAAAGTCGCTTGTGCCCTTTCTTACTTATGTCATGTGTTGGATCCGACTTTGTAGCAACTAAGCGAGGCATAGATTTTGCCACAACCGAATACGCAGTTGCATTTGGAGGGGTCTGCTTTGTTGAAGTGTTCTTTGGTGAAATTAGGTGAAGCTTTGCAGAGGGAGTGTTTGGTAAATCATTATCCGGGTGCCCTGTGAATGCTACTGCCGTCGCAAAATCTCTGGAGTCGATGTTCTGACGAGCTGAAGGTCTATAGACTGCCGACTCTAAAACAGGAACATTCGCAGCTGGTTCCAAGATAGAATCTATGGTGGCTTGTGATATATCACCACTTTGCTGACGGTAAGAACGCCGAATAAGGAGCGCGCTCGGTGGTCGAATAGGCGCAGGGGTCCGACCGGGTGCGCTTTGTGACAGCTCCGGGTTAAAGATACTGTCAAGCGACTGGTCGAGCGATGGGTTGAGTGAAGTTGTAACAGGGGAGAATGATGTGAACGTCTTAGGTTGGTGTAAAAGAGACATCCCTTCCTCTTCAGATTGGATGCCGGGAAGTGGTGAATCGGTTGTGGACGTGAAAGAAAGTGGTGTGGTTTGAAGAGTAGGTGAGGTTTGTGCGTTGGGTGAATTTGGAACAATGGGACTGGTCGACTTTCTTCTTAAAGAAACGCTCTGCGTTATAGGCTTTCTTGGAGCAAAGAACTGTTTGGAGGGCAAAATTCCCGAAGCATGTCGCGATGCTCGCGCTTGATTACTCATTTCCGGTACCAGGGGCGAATGATAAAGATAGGATTTTTAAAGATTTTCTCTGTCAAAAAGAGATTAAATTACACCCTGTCCTCTACAACTTCGACCAAAAGTTTCTCCTTTCCAATTTAATCGACTATTCTTATTCCTTTTAGCGATTTTCTATTGTTCATTAAATTTGAGTTAAAAAATGTATGTATGTAGTAAGTATGTTAGTTTAACGCAATTGTAAAGTACAGGTTCGTTTCAGGAAACCTATCGTATTTATGCCGGACAAGTCACGAGAGCTGCTTGGTGATCTGTCGGTCAAAGCGTTTATGTGTAATAAAAAATGTACAAATGTATAAAATACGCAATTGTGATATGCCCTACTGGTATTTGATACCAATAAACCTTTTTGTTGATAATAAATATATTTCAGATGCGTAGAAACCAGACCTTTCGTACAACAGCATGGGACCCTCTTCTCATTGTCTCTCAGGTAAAGCGATTTCCGGAAACCGTTTTAGCCCTTCAACTTGTTTGCATTTTCGCAAGGCTTATACCTCCTTTTTTTTTTTTTAATAGATCCTCTCCTTACAAACATTATACTACACATCCATCTCCCTTATTACACTCTTCACACTCTTAATAACAGGAAATGATATAACCTTAGATCACCTATTGGACTACCGGGAGTTCAGAGCCGACACGGTGTTAGGCTGGACGATGTGTTTCGCATGGATCGCGAATTCTGTAGTAGGGTGAGTTGATAGAATTTCCTGTTTCAATTCACATCGAAAGTCAATTCAAAATTAGATTATTCAAAGATCTTCAACTTCCGTTTAACGAATTGATGCATTCATTCGGATATCCTCTTGACATATGGCTAAGGATGGGTCCTTAAAGTATTTAGTATATAAAATTTCGTAGACCACTTATGTCCTTTCTTGAGAAATAAGATTCATGATTTTTCACTTTAATAGGGACAATTTTAGAAACAATAATTTAAAGTGATGGAAAATTATTATAGATAGATGATCTTTTTGTGATTATAAACTTAAAATTTTAATATTTTAGTAAAGGATATTTGATTTATGTCCTCATTCCTTCCTTTAGGAATTCATATTCACCTATGGCAATAATTTATCCCTTTACTTATCATTCCCATTCTTATAATCTTTACCAGAATCTACCTCCTTGTACGAATCGTCCAGCGTGCAAGACTCGTCCTCGACTTTAGCTTGACGCTTCATTTCTTTCACTTTCTGATGACCACTTATTATTCGGGCCATGTCCCTACAACATTTATTTGGTGGACACTTAACGTGACGACATGTTGTATAATGGTCTTTGGCGGCGAACTCTACTGCATGCGAAAGGAGATGGAGCCGATCTTATTGAACGATGACGTCGGAGAAGGAAGCGGTGCAGCAGGCACCAGCAATGCCACTGTAAAAACAAAAATTAGCGCCGATGTAGATAGAGACAGATACGAGATGGTGCCAATGGAAGAAATAGAGGTTGGTGGGTGAGATACATAAGTCTTTTATGGTAGTCGACAGATCAGGCTTTATCGAATTTCCTGAAAAGAGAGAACGGACTTTATTTATCCAACGACCCGGAGAGGTACTCACCTAATATAGATTGAGATAATTTATTTGATAAACAAAAAAAAAAAAAATCTTTTTTTCGCTTCAGTTTTTTTTTTTTTTTTTGTAAAGATAAATCTTTAGACATTTCAGAGAAGCATCATTCCTTCAACATGAGATTACGCTTTTCTCAACTACATTAAAAAAAATTAAAACTCTTCTCTATACAATCAATCTTCTTAGATACATTATAAAAGGTAATAATAATAATAATAATAATAATAATAATAATAATTACACACTCGTTATCTAATTAATAGAAGCATCATGAATCTATACAACTTCACACACAAACATGTAAAAATTACCGGAACAAACTTTGCGAAAAAAGATTCATCGTCAATTACAATAAAATTATTCACAGTGACTTTTGTAAGGCAAAAAAATGTAAAGACGTCAATTTACTTCATTCGCCGGAACCACGCTTGCGCTAACAATTTTTAGCGTATCGATGACCAAGAAAGTCCTTGACAGATTACAGCTCTTCCACGTAATTTCCTAGGAGGCAGGTTACATTTCAGTATATAAAGTCGAGTGTATTAATACGAAAAAGAAAAAAACCTAAATTCTTGTAATCACCAGGAAACATGCCAATCTTCCCCTTTAACTTTCCTTTCCACCAATCATTGACATCGGGAGTTCGTTCGATCACCTCTATTTTGTCATCTTTTCGAAAAGACAAGTCCCCCTCGGCTTGTGCGTCGTAGTCATACAAGGCAATCACATAATGCGCAAGTTTTGGTTTGGGGGCTATCGGTGGAGGTGGCGGCTTCTTTGGCTTGGGACTTGTCACCACAGGTTTATGACTTAATTCTGGAGATTCCTTTTTTGATCTTGGGTTATATTCGGGAGGCTCCCTTTTCGGCCTTGGAATAGTCACCGGTGTATATTCAGGAGGAGGAACATCATAATCTTCATCTTCACATTCTTCTTCATAATCTCTTCTGGAAGATGATGTTCGGTAATTGGGAGAGCGCGAACGAATTGAACTGGTATCTGAAGGAGCACGACCAGGGGATCGCAGTGTGTCCGAAGAACGTGCGCGTGCAGACTCAATACTTGATTTTTCTTTTCAAAAAGAAAAAAAAATATACATCAGATTAATCATTTTAAACAACAATCGGATTTGAGGGATTATTGCGTAAATGATGCGAAATCCAACCGCGTTTTCGTCGATCAATGATGGTCAACTCATCTAACATATTAGTGGCTTCTTCTCTTCTACTTTCAAAGCCTCTTACTATATCCGTCTCGGTATCGAAGTATCCTATTTCCACCAACTGTTCAAATCGTTCTAATAAGATACCGAAAATCTTTAGTTGTATATGATAAAAACTTTCGGCTATAGGCTCGATAAATTCAACTCTAAATTCGAAGAAAAGTGGAAGTTCTTTTTTCAGAAGATCATTGTAATACTCATATTCTTGTGTTGCTTGATCAAATTGTTCCTCCAACTATCGAAACCAAAATCGGTCATTGAAAATTTTAAGATAGCGACGGAAAAAAGACGGATTGTGATGTGTTCAACATTTAGTCACCTTGAACATTTGTTTTTCATCATTTAACGACCTATCTTTTTTATCTTGGAGCTTCTTCAAACTAAGATTATATCGATCGTAATCCACCTTTTTGTGATCGCGCTTGGTAATCACCTTCTTAATTGCCTTGATAATCTTCATAAATTCTACGGCCGGTTCAACAATCTTCTGATCGATATCATCCTAGAAATATTTTAATAAGTTTAATTGCATTGATGTGAATATCATTTAAATGAAAAAATTTAATCTAACCTCTATCTGCTAGTGTGGTCAACTCACCAATTCTGGTAATATCAAATCTCTAATTTCAGACATTATCTCCGCATATATTTCGACAGCCTTCATGGATCGAGCGGGTGTTTTCACTCGACGGGTAACTCCCCCCTCGGACGGGCCATCCCCTTGAATAGGATTGTATAATTCGAGCAATAGATCAGAAACGTTTGTTTGATGATTTATCATATCTACAAACGAGGAAGAAAAAATTAGGTCAAATAACAAGACGAAATTAAAAGGTGCCGTTAATCTAACACCGCAAGAATATAGGAACTTACTTGACATGGAATCCCGAAATTTAATAACATCGTTATGAAACTTTTCCGTTGTTTTGGCTAATTCAGTGAATTGATTGCTCGCATCTTCAAACCGACGGTCTTTGGTTACTGTAAGAAAGAGTCAAACGAAAATGGATTTTAATTATGGATCTTAAAAGTTTAAAATTTGAGATTCCTTAGCCTCGTCGAGCAAAACTCAGAATGTCGTACTAGCTCCTGTGAGACTCTCTTTTATCGAGACATCGTTTTTTATCCTAACCTGAACGAATTCCGGTCTTTGATAAAACCTGATGGGGCATTCGCACGAAGGCCTTACTTGTACCTTTCCTGTAAAAAGAGAGATTTAGATCGCGCCGTTGATAATAACATCCACAAATCCACAAAAGAGCAAAACGCCTGGTTATTTACAAGCTCATTTTTCTCAACGGAGAGTGCAAAGAAATTGTCAGCAAACTCAAATTATAGATATGCACATACTTATTGCGTTATTGTGTACCACGTATGATCATTACACCTTAAATGCGGTCGAACGTAATAAAATATAATAATGACGTACACTCCCCGGAAAAAAATCACCGGAATTTACTATTAATATTGCGACGATCATTTTTTTTACAGGTTTTTTATAAGCAATTTTTTTAATAATTTATTTAATAATTTAAATTTAAAATTTTTTATTTAATTATTTACAATAATTAATATCGTGTAGGACCTCCTTGAGCTTCTTTCACGGCATTAACACGTCGATTCATACTTCTAACAAGATTTATATAAAGTGAGCCATTTAAATTGAATCATTTTTTTTGTAATAAATCAAATAATTCTAATTCATTTTTTGGTAATGGATGTATACAATGTTCTACCTCATCCCATAAATGCTCTATGGGATTAAGATCAGGACTTGTTGAAGGTCAAGAAAGCTTATTGATCTTATTTTCTTTAAACCATCGCATAGTTAATTTTGTTGTATGAATTTTTGCATTATCTTCTTGAAATATATAATCTTTTTTTTCAACTATATTATTTAAATTTTCTAAGTAAGATACATAATAATCTTGTAAAATATCAACATAATCTTTTGCAGTCATATTGCCAAAAACTCGTATCAAAGGACCTAAACCATAATAATAAAAACATTCCTACACCATTATGCCCATTCTATCTGATCTAAAAGTTGGAATTAAATATTCAACATCGAATTTTTCTTTGGGTTTTCTCCATACATAACTATAACCATCTCCTCCATATACTTCAAACTGAGATTCATCACTTCAAATTATAATTTTCCACTCCTTTTTTCAACCCATTCATTCTTTTATCCATTCTAATCTAATCTTATATTTTTCTTTGTTTACAAAAGGTTTTCTTTTATCAACATGGTTAAAATAACCTTCTTCATGAAGATAGTGTTGTATAGTATATGCACAAATTTTGGTGAAGGTTGATTTAACAAATTTATTGATTAAGATATATAACATTGACTTTCTATCCTGTTTTAAAAGATAGATAAAGTGACAAATATCATGTCTGGTTAATTTCAGTAATCTTCCAGAATGAGGAGGAGGTTTCACTTGACCAGTTTTTTTATATAGTGTAATGACATCATAAACGGTGTTCTGATGAAGTTTCAGGTTTTTTATGATAGCTGATGGCTTTATAACACACTTCCAAGCTCCGATTATTTGATCACGTTGTTGTTTGATAAATTCCTTTCTTTTTTTCTTCATTATAAAAAATTACAAAAAAAAAATATATATATATATATATATTCAGATAACAGAGGATCAAGAGAAATGGTGGATAAAAAATTATAAGAATCAGCGCAAACTTTTATTTATAAAAAAAAAAAATGTAAACATTAAGTCATTACGGTCGATTATACTTAATTTTGAAATTCTGGTAATTTTTTTGGAGGAAGTGCACAATCAATATATATTTTTTGGTATTAATTATAAATGAAATTAATATATTAAAAAGAAAAATATTTTTTCAAAAACTTTTTTTCTCAAAAGAGATCTACCTATTAAAAAAACTTAAAATAATAGTAATTAACAAATAAATTTCTTAAATGATTTGAAGCAAAAAAAAAAATATTATAATAAAAAATTTATCTTATATCTTTTATTAGATTAGAAGAAAAAAAGTAAAAAATTTTGAAAAATATTTGGCAAGGTAAAATTAATTGGGACTAGTTTTAAAAGAGTCAAGTTGAGATCTTTAAAGGAAAAAGAAAAGCAAGTAAAAAAGGAGAAATAGAAAGAGGCAAATAATGAATAATTTAATAATTAAATTTGTAATTTTTAATAAATTTCATGAAATTTGAATTTTTTATTGCAGTAATTTTTTTGCTAAATTTTTATCGCAATATCAATTTTTGCTGAATTTTTTTTCATAGTAATTTTTTTGCCAAATTTTTGCCATAGTATCAATTTTTTTGCTAAATTTTGTCACAATATCAATTTTTGTGTCAAATTTTTTGTTGCAGTATCAATTTTTTTGATAAATTTTTTATTACAGTATGTAAAAAATTTTTTTGTTACCGTATACAAAAAAAATTTTTATCACAATATTGCCAGATTTTGTATCAAATTTTTTTTTCATAAAATACTGATATTTTTTTGTTGATTTTTTGTTAATATTTTTAATGCCGAGTAGCAGCAATTGTAAATAATTCATCATTCTTTTTATTATTAATTTTTGTCAAATTCGGCAATAATTTGACAATAATTTAGCAGCCGAATGACATAATTTCAACTAGTATAAGCTTCTCTAATATTTTGCTCAGTTGGGTTACCTCTAACTCTTATTTTGCAGTTAATCTTAGGCTTCTTGTTTTTCATCTTGTTATTTGTCTTTGATATTACCTAGTATCTAAAGCTTCATCATCTATTTTTAAGGAATATTGTAAAGCCTGGTATGGACTTGATTTGCTTTCAGGTGTTTTTGCCTCCTTAGTGGCTCCTATTACTACTAGTTACTAATGGCATAGACCTTATTATACTTCTTTTATTTTCTGGTTGACTATTGTTTTTTTTTAGTCTTACTACCAGTGTAGCTTCTTTTTTGGTTACCATAATATCTTCATTACTTTCTCTATCTTCATTTGTTCTATCTTAGTTTTTGCAATTTTGTTCCCTTGCTTCTTTAATCATTATATATGCATTGTCTAATCTAATCAGATCAGTTAACACCTTGTGATAATAATGATTCTTTGCACTCCATCCTAGCTCTTGATTATTGATATTTATTTGGTACTGGAGTACCTCCCTTAGATCTTTTTCATTATTAAAGTACACTACTGCATAGTTTTCTGATATCAAGATAATCTTGTTTTTTGATATATAAAAGGTCTTAGCCTTTGTGTGGTTTAAGACTTCTTCTATAGATTTTGTAAATAATTCATCAACTTCATAAAGTCTTAAGAAGTATTTCTTTCTCTCTTTAGAATCTGAGTAATCTCTTAATTATCTTGTTTCTTGTAAACTATTATAGACTGTATTTGATTGGATTTTATCTTGATTATCTATTCCTTGTTCAAGTTGATATATTTTTAGTAAAAATAAAGATAAACTCTAAACCATTTTTAATAAAAAGATGTTCTATGTTCGAGAATATTGATAATCTCTTCAAATTCTTCCATTGTTTGTCTAATCATATGTTTGTTAAGCTTGTGATTTGTATCCATCAATGTAATATATTTTAATCTATTTTTGATTGATGGAAAGCTTTTTGGCTTGAAAAACTTTTTGTTCAGAGCATATCTTTAAAAAACTGATCATATACTTATATATTTATCCATTATTCTAAGTATAAAGTTCTTAGCTTCTTTTTTGTTTATAGCCTCCAGAAAACTTGCTACATCTTTTTTTTCATCAAAGCCAAATATAATCCAATGGTTACTATTAATAAATTCTGTTTTGAAAGGATTTATTCTCTTAGGTATTTTTAGAGCTACTTTGAGATATATAATTCCTTCTTCTCTATTTTCTCTTGATGATATGGCTTGGAGTACCCTCCTCACCTTGATTGATCCCTGTTGTTTTACAAAAAATGGATTTATTGTTATTCCTTAAACCCTATTTCTTATATTATAAGATATACTGTTTATAATACAGCTTTTCTATACTATTTCTTTTAGCATTTCTGTTTCTATTTGTTCTATCATTGCTTTATCCTTTATTATGACTTCCTTAATGGAGTGTGTTTCTTCAAGTTCTATAGAAATTAGTTGAACTTCTATTGAAGTGCTTTTTATAATAGAAACTTTAACTTGGTTAAAGTTTGATACCTGTATTACTGGTTTGCTTGTCAACATATTATACATATTTTCTTCTGGTATAGGTGCTTTCAAATATTTTTTTTTATCTTGCCCCTTTTCCCAGAGAGTAAAAATATATTTTTGCAGTATATGTTCTTTTATCAGCACTAATGGATCTATCCTCAATAGATTGACAATGATATTATCTAGTATTGAGAAAATCTGTATTGACTCAGCAGAAATGTAAAGTTGATTGGTTGCTATTAATTACAGCTCATGCTGTATTATTTTTGTTTCCCAAAGTACTTGCTGGAAATCTTGATAAGAAGCTATCTTTCCCAATACTTTCAATAGTTTCTTTTTCCTTCTCTCTAAGATCTCAATTATTGTTTGTTCTTTTATCAACATGTTGTTATGTAACATACAAAAAAATATTAATACATGTTGTTATGTGACATACAAAAAAATATTAATACATGTTGTTATTATATAAGTGTTTTTTAATTATATGATCAGATAAATACTGTTATATATTATTTTTCTGTTTGGTGTATATGGCAATCAGTTGATATATTGATATTAGAGAATCTATAATATGTGATTTTTATGTGTTTACATATCTAGTATTTGTTTATTAATACATAACTGGCTGTGATCAACTGTTGATCTTGCTTTAGATAACACGTGCTGGTTATTCATACACATTCTAGTTTGTTAATTTATTATATCCCACTATTTTGTTATAAATTAATCAGCTGCTTTAATACACATTAACCAGGTGAAAAGTCAATGTGTTTATATTTGCATGACATGAATTAGTTAATCTGGAGTTGTTGTGTTGTTAGTATCTTTTAGCTGTTTAATCAAAGAGACTTGGATATCCTCCTGGATTTTAGTTAGCCTTGAGATTATGCTGATTTATCAATATAATATATTGCTTTTGAGACTCTTCTTAATGCCTAGAAAGGTATTAACCTGTACTGATCTGGCTAAAAGCTTTGTGGAGTTGAGGTTGAATCTTAAGAAACCTACTGTGAATCAGCTTGTTTTTGCTTTTTCTTTTCCTAAAAGTAAAAATGATCTAGGGATATCTGTTTTTCAAGTTGAATGAAACTCTTCTTATTGTTGCAAAGTAGATTTTGTTATCTAGAAGTATTTGGTTGTATTCTTCAAGACTTGCTTTTGTGTAGAAGAGTTTTTTTAAGTTTTTCAAGAAAATTACCAAAAAAGAAAATTTTTTAAAAAAATGTGAATCAGTGGAAAGAGTTTTTAAAAATATTTTTGATTATATTTATAAATTATAAATAATACAAACTATAATATAATATATAATATGTAATTTATATTATTATAATTTAATTAATTATAACCTGTGGATCAATAGTACAGTGAATGCACTTCTAATTACTATTCACAAGATAATGGTTCAATCCTATTTAAGAATGGTTTTTGCAATATAGGTTATATTGTATAAGATATATGCTATTCAGTCATATATACACTTGTACATAATCAACCTATAGAAACTTATAGATCTTAATTAGTTTTAGTACTAGAAAAAAAAATCCTTATTATTCAGAATATGAAAAGACATCAAGTAAGTCAGAAAAAATTCCAATTGATTTGAGATTATCAATAAATATGTGGAAAATTCACCTCTTCTTAAAAAACACCCACTAGAAGAGATGGGAGACTTAGGTTATTAATATTAATAAAAATATAACTAATATAGGTCAAAATATATCATAGAAGATTATATGATCATTGAATTAATAGCTATCAGAAAGAACAGTCACCACTTAGACTAGTGATTAGCAGCAGTATCTTGATGGGAATCCTAGGAGTTAATGTGTTTGAGAGAAGTCACAAGATCTCATTTGATCACAGAATATTCTTGAAAGGCCATATTTGAAGAGTGATTAAGAATAATGCAATATAAGACTATATGTTAATTATGAAGATATACTATTGAATTGCTGGAATATCAATATATACTATTGATCTTGTACAATTAGAATACAACTAGCCTTCTCAGAACTTAACATGATAAAAGATCTATTACAATATCTATAACAATATAAACAATATTACTATCTAAAGAACATATACTATAAAGTTCTTCATTTAATATCAATAAAGTCTTTTAGTATATTCTTAGAATGTTAGATGTCTAGGTAGAACAAGATAACTAATAAAATGATACCAAATATAGTAAAATTGACTGGATCAAAATATAAAGTTAAATATGATATGGTTAAATAAATTAGGTAAATAGTTTATGTAATCAAAAGTCTATTACTACTTAATAAAGATCTATATCCATCAGTTAGGGTAGTTAAAAAAAATTTTTTTTAATTAATTATATATTATTATATAACTAATATTAAATAATTTATAAATATAAATGATTTATTTTGCAAGTTTTATGAATTTTTGTTAAATAATAGATAAATAGTTGCTGAATTTTTAATGAATAGTCAATAAACTTTTAATGAATAGTTTTGATAAATAGTTGCTGAATTTTTAATTAATAGTTGATAAATATTTATTGAATAGTTTTGATAAATAGTTGCTGAATTTTTAATTAATAGTTGACAAATATTTATTGAATAGTTTTAATGAATAGTTGTAGAATTTTAATAAATAGTGATGAATTTTTGATGAATTATTAATAAATTAATATCAAATTTTTATTAAATTGCTAATAAATAATTTTGTAATAAACTTTTAATAAATTTTTGTTAAATAGTTAAGGAATTATTTAATAAATTATTAATAAATTTTTTGATAATTTATTGTTAAACTTTTAATTAATAAATTTTTAATTACCAAATTTTTTAATTATCAAATTTTTGATTGCCACTTTATTGCTAAAATAATAATATGTTGAGTAGCAGCAATAAAAAAGAATTCAACAATATTTTTAGACAATAATTCAGTTATTGAATGACATAATTTCGATTGGTGCAAGTTTTGAATAAAAAAATTTATAAATAAAAAATAAAAAATATAAATAATTCTTAGAACCATTTTTCATATCATTTTAAAAAAAGTATTAAAAAAACTTTTATATAAGTATCTTTTTTATTAGAAAATTAATAAAAAAGTTTTTCTTACTTGCTGATAATATAAAATACTTTTAAAGACCTGTGGATCAATAATGTAGTGGTAGTACTCCCAGGTCACCAAGTACTGTTTCTGAGTTCAATACCATTGCAAGGCAGTACCATCTAAGCCTAGATGATACAAGAAGATCCCATCTATCCTATGATGAAGATCTAACCACCTCTAGTCAAGACCCTATCCAATTATGGGATATTCAAAAATCATAAAATACTTCAGCCAGTTTTAGTACTGAAGTCACCTCATCACAAAACAAGCTCCTGCAGATAGGTTGAAGATCTGTATATTGTAAAATTAAGGAAACTAGTAAAGCCTAGGCACGTTAGTTAGAAGAGGGTCTCTATCAAAATTGACATTCATCCAAGACTTCACGTGGTCACTCCATAGGTAGGCTGTAATAGGTCATGTAAAAAGAGTGCTCTGGTAGGACGAGATGATATCTAAGACTTCACGTGGATA